TACCTAGTTAGGAAAGAGCAACAGCCTAGAGCGAAATTGAAGAAAGAGGGCAATGCGAGTCTTCAAATCGAACCCAAGAAACTTGATCTTGAGTAAAGAATCGGAGAACTCCAAACCAGAAATCCAAGAGACCGCAAGAAGGGAAAGACAGCAAAGAAACCAAACAGTGGAAAATGGCGATTCTGATAGAGTATTTAAAGCTTGAGAGACATGGGCTGAAACATGCATGAAAACCGATGAGGCCATGATTGCTGAAAATCGTCAAAAATACATCTATAACGTGCAAGCCAAGGACAACCACATGTAAGCCCAGCTAGGTTTAAAAACAGCTCAACCCCTGCCCAAGCTCGCTTGAACCAGGGACTGGGGGGCAACTGATGATATCTCAAATAAGTTATAAGAACGAGCTTAGAAAACGAGGTCAGGTCAGGAGGTTTGGTAGGATACGAGGAACTCAGAAGTCCAAGGCCAGAGCTTCCCCTAAGGAGATGATAATGGGGCTAACTAGGGAACAGCTGAATAACTGTGAAAATTAGGTTCAAAACATGAAACTCTCAACCAACCAAGATGTTTTCCTAAAATCAAGGAGAGTCCCACTAATGGCAAGCGAAGATCTCGACTGAGATCCTATAGAATAGGAAATAGTCCTATAAATGCTATGTAACGCCTCCATAGAAGAGGGAGGAACCCTAATTTCAAGAGAGACGGTATTATAATACATTTGAGTAGTGAATAGAGGAGAAGGAGAAAGAGCCTCCATTAAAGAGTGAACTAGCCGAGCTCCTGAGCCGGTGAACCACTATATTTTCACTGTATGTACCCCTCTAATCCCCTCTGCATTTCGTTCCAACATCACACACGAGCCTTGTAGCTTTGATCCTCGCTTATCATACGTTATCTGCACTTTTTGCTCATCAACGTGGTCATACACCAACAAANACCTAAAGGCAGCCCTGGTGCCCGCTGCGCTGTCAGAGACTCCTACCCCACTCACCTTGCCCTTTGTTAGGATTAGGGGGCACAGAAGAAGATGATGGGGGAAGTTCCTCAGTATTCTCCTCGGCATCGACAACATCAACACTGGGGAAGTTGTCGATTTTCTCTCCCACATCCCCTAAATCAGTGTCCTCTTCGACAGACTTTTCTCCCAAGAGAAAAATAGAGGAGTGAGTAGCCCTGGAAGGGGTAAACATGATTGGATAGGAGAAAGGTAAATTGAAAGAACGGTAGAGGTGAGGAATACTAGTAAGGCACTCCCAGATAACCCTAGGGTCAACACAGTAGCTTCCAACAGCGAGAATTCGCACGATAAGGCTCCAATCCACAAAGTGGGGAAGAGGAGACAAGCAGCAGTTTCGATTCCAGAGATAAAAGAATCGAAAAGCCCAGAAATGCAATGACCACCTCGAACTTGAGGGATTCAGGACGAGAAAAGGCGAAAAAGGGGACAAAAGAGGCGTACCTAGTTAGGAAAGAGCAACAGCCTAGAGCGAAATTGAAGAAAGAGGGCAATGCGAGTCTTCAAATCGAACCCAAGAAACTTGATCTTGGGTAAAGAATCGGAGAACTCCAAACCAGAAAGCTAAGAGACCACAAGAAGGGAAAGATAGCAAAGAAACCAAACAGTGGAAAATGGCGGTTCTGATAGAGTATTTAAAGCTTGAGAGACATGGGCTGAAGCATGCATGAGAACCGATGAGGCCATGATTGCTGAAAATCGTCAAAAATACATCTATCACGTGCAAGCCAAGGACAACCACATGTAAGCCCAGCTAGGTTTAAAAACAGCTCAACCCCTGCCCAAGCTCGCTTGAACCAGGGACTGGGGGGCAACTGATGATATCTCAAATAAGTTATAAGAACGAGCTTAGAAAACGAGGTCAGGTCAGGAGGTTTGGTAGGATACGAGGAACTCAGAAGTCCAAGGCCAGAGCTTCCCCTAAGGAGATGATAATGGGGCTAACTAGGGAACAGCTGAATAACTGTGAAAATTAGGTTCAAAACATGAAACTCTCAACCAACCAAGATGTTTTCCTAAAATCAAGGAGAGTCCCACTAATGGCAAGCGAAGATCTCGACTGAGATCCTATAGAATAGGAAATAGTCCTATAAATGCTATGTAACGCCTCCATAGAAGAGGGAGGAACCCTAATTTCAAGAGAGACGGTATTATAATACATTTGAGTAGTGAATAGAGGAGAAGGAGAAAGAGCCTCCATTAAAGAGTGAACTAGCCGAGCTCCTGAGCCGGTGAACCACTATATTTTCACTGTATGTACCCCTCTAATCCCCTCTGCATTTCGTTCCAACATCACACACGAGCCTTGTAGCTTTGATCCTCGCTTATCATACGTTATCTGCACTTTTTGCTCATCAACGTGGTCATACACCAACAAAGCAGAAAACTCCAATTAAGGGTATCAAAAGATGCCATGATATCAACCATGATCACACGTCTAGGAGACCCATTGCTTCTATGATGGATTCCCAATAGGTCTTGGACCAATAGGATGTTGTCACCAATATTCATCCGAGGTACAACGCCTATTTGACTGAAGAACTTCCTTCACTCTGTTGGTTACTATCTTAGAAATGGCTTTTTATAGCGACTTTTGAAGGAGGATTAGCGACTTTGGGTACTAAAGCAAGGATGGTAGAGCTGAGTTCCCTGACGAGCCTGCCACTTCTTAAAAATTCTTTTGACAGCTTCAATTTTATCCTCCCATAATTGGCCATGCTCTTTTAAAGAAATGAGCATTGTATGCATTCGGGCAATGGACTTTCATGTCATTGAAGGAAAAGAACACCTCCTTCATTTAATTTCAGATATATATTCTAAAACAAGTTTTATGGGCTCTTAGAGACAATAAATAATGACTTCCCTTACCTATATAAAGTAGACCTTTCAAAGGTCTTGCAAATATACTAGAAATTCGATACTGTTCCAGCCTTCCTTTCCTTGCTTCTTTTATCATTTATTATTTCATTATTTTCTATGAATATATTGATCGACTACTTAGGTTCGAGTCCAGTTCACCTTTATCTTCCGGTAAACATAACCACTAAAGACATACTTTTGTATATGAATCCCTTTTCAATTTAATGAAATCCTTATCAAACAAAAAAAGCAACCATTAAGGGTATAGTACTGTAGACATTTGGCTTGAATTCTAGAGACACTGATTTCCATTAATACACTAACATGGGGAGACTAAACTTTTTTTACTACTTTAGGACTGTAAAAACGGCTCTCGTACTCGCATGAGAGCTCTTTCCAATCTATTTTAATTGTTAATAGCATATCTTTACTGCAAAATCACATGTTTATGTTTTTGTAAGATTCTAATCTACGGCTCATGTTATAGTTTCAATTTTTCTCTTTTGTAACATAGTTTTTCACAAAACTCTGCAAATTTCCCGAACAAAAGTCATAAGAGGCTCCTTTAGTCGCCATAGTTCCATCATACACGGGTAGTGTGGCAAAAGGTAGCTTAGGTGAGTTGTGTGGTAGAAATAGGATCAAAACGAGTTAGATTATTAAACCCAATACTAGCGTCTTGGGCATAAAAAAAACACCATCGTCACCCCCACCACCAGAAACACCATCACCGCCAGCATTACCACCACCTCCACCAACCATTTATTAAACGAGATTTTTTGTTACACTATTCATGGAATACTTTGCTTTCTAAATTTCATCATTGTTGTCAGATATGACAACCATATTAATATTAAATGATCAAAGTACATAGGAAGCATTCATTCCAAAATCTACAAGAGAAACTTTTTTCCTCAATACCCAGCATTGTTTTCCTTATTCTTCGTGAATCCCACTCAAGCCTGACTGCATAATCACACTGATGAGGACTTGATATTTGCATATTTCATGTCAGATCCTGCCAAAATTGACAATTTCACGTTTTAGAAGAAGAGAGATAATGATCCTACTGACATCATTTTTAAATCTTTTTACCAAAATACTATTCTTTTTAAACTTATTTACCAAATTATGGTTAGTTTAAAGAAAGCCAGACTTGAACTTACTTTTTTTCAGGTTCACTTCACTTTTTTTTTTTTAATGAAAAGTAATGCAGTTTAATAAATAAGAATAAAACAACTACAGNTGTTCACTTCACTTTTTTTTTTAATGAAAAGTAATGCAGTTTAATAAATAAGATTAAAACAACTACAGATAGGAAATAAAGTGGAAAAAATTGTCGTATTTTAGTAAAAAGAAAAACATTAGAAGAAGTAGAAGCATGTCAGGAAGAAAATAAAAGAAGGCGATAGAAAAAGATGAGTTTTGTACTGAATGAATTCAACGTTGATTTTCGCGTCTGGGGAGTGAGAGATGGCACCAAAAGCATCATTGGACATGACAATAGTTGCAGGGCATGGCCTTCTAGGGCAGAAGTCCACCACCCTAACGTCAACAGTACCATCCTTGCATGGCTTGTTATAGCCGCTCAAGCACCTCAATCTGTAACGCCTGCCACACGCTGCCCCATTGTCCCACAGGCCTTCACTCACTGCTACAAATAGATTTCCTGGTGGAAATTGATCTGCTCTGTTGCCATTGCACTTGGTAGCTGCACAAAAATAGAAAAATGAATTGATCAATTGTAAACATGACTCGTGACTTACTTTCTGCTATTTAAGGTCGTTATATGGGTCATTGACTTAGAGGGCATGAAAACATAAAAATTGTGATATCCCGACACAGTATAGGGCGATATAAGGTGAAACAATATTAGTCGATTTGATAATGACACTAGAACTTCTAGGGATTAGCTCGGAGATGTCTTAGTGACTCAACTGAGTCGCTTGAGACTCCTAGTTTACATAGAACGTATATAGGACGACATTAAAGTAAAATATGTCGAATCAGATGTATCAATATCGACAGATACATTTGACCATGCTCTTTAGAAAGGTAAAAGTTTATGTATACATATACAGCTTCAAGTAATTGAGAAAGATTGGCTTCTACTTAAGATAATGTTGTATGTATATATGCGAACTCACGTGTATATGGAGGATTATAAGAAGTGGCCGTGCCAATATCCCCATTGACTAGGCTTATCTCCTTGCACAATAAACTAAATACCATTGCTATGACTAGGAGAACCATAACTGAGGAAAGCAAAGCACAATGAATTCTGAACAATGGTATTTCCTGAGGCCATATTTATAGTTGAGAGGATAAGAGAGCTCTCTCTCTCTCTCTCTCCTAGATCTCTCTCTTTGATCCTGATCTTCTCTAATTTGAGAGGGTTAATCCATCAAACGAAAAAATAAAGAATAAAATATATTGTATGGTATCTTAGGGCATCTCCAACCTTTACTCAAATTTAAATTTGAGTAAAAAAATCTAAAAAACTTGCTCCAATACTTGACTCAAACTTATACCAAATTAAGATAAACTTATTTTTTTATTTAAATCAAGGGAGACTCAAATCTTTTAATGGTGAGATTTTACTATCTTTTAAAGATTCAATTTGGATTTACTCTCATTTAAATTTGGGTCTCTCCTTTTTTAAGTTTGAATTTGTCCATTTGAGTAATTTATATCAAATCAAGATTTTTACTCAAATGTTAATTTAAATTTGAGTAAAAATTTAAGTCATGGTTGGAAATGTTCTTAGTCCTCTTTGTTGTATTGCTTCATCGGGAAGTACATCATCACTCCTTTGGGGAATATTTATAATTATTTTGAATTTCTTACCAAAGCAATAATGCTAACTCAATTAAATTTGTTGATTTAATACATTATTGTTGTGAGATTGACAATGAATCTCATTTGATATTGGGATCTGTTGCTCATCTAAATATTACAATAAATTAGGTTAATAAATTAAATTTAAAAATATAAAATATTATTTTGACATAATTTGAGACCTAATTTAGATAACCTTATGCATTTCTATTAGGGTTAATCCATCATCCAATGTTGATATCACTACTCACCTAGATGTAATAAAACAATTGGTAAATTTCACTAACCCCGCCTAAAATTAAGGGATATTTCAGAAATTATAAAAATGTTCATATAATTAAACTATTTTTCAAGAAGTGTCAGGGAAATTTGCCCTAAAACATTAGGATTCAATAGCATTATAGGTCATAGAAAGAGAAGTCAAAGTAAACGATATTGTTCGGACCCATTGGCTCCACTTCCTCTATCCAAACATTCCTCCCACTTGTCAGGAACTCATTAGAACGTAGTTTACATTTGACGCGGGATCTCAATCTGAAAAATCTATTATTACTTTTTAGTTTTAAGGTCTGCAACCTTCATAAGGAATTAAATGACACACGGACATTTTATTGAAATTGATGTATCTGTATTGAATACCGTATCGAATATAATATTTATTAAATATTCGAAGAGATGTATCAGATACACCTTCTACGTATTCGATAATAATTAAATATTAAGATATTTCACGGATACTTTTGTAGTAGAGCAATTTATATATTTTTTTAGTTAAACTTTTAACATCTTTTTTCAAATTCACATATTATACAATACATTAACAAAAATTTCAAATTACTTCGAAGGCACATGAATGTTTTTTAAGTATTATCTATAATTACATGTCAAAAAACCATATAGTAAAGCTATTACATTATAATCTTAGCAAAAATCGTTTCTAATTAGTCACTTTAGGTAAATATTAATTTTGATTCCTTTAATTAGTCACTTTACTTTATAAATATATCACAGCAACACGATATATATTTCCTTGAAACTAAAAAGAATTACTAATTTTCCTTAGTATATGTTAAAGAACAACCAAAATATATAAGTGTTAAGTTGGTTAAAAATAATAAATATATTAAATATATTTTATTATAGTCGTATCCTGGCCGTACCCGTATCTTATTTTTTTAGACTTTGTCGTTTCACCGTATCCGTATCGTATCGTACCCGTGTCCCGTATTCATATCCGTGTTTCATAGATTATTATTCATAACCCGTGTCTGAAGGCACAATGAAATATAAAATTAAACGCCCAAAAAAATTAATCTCACTATATTAAATAATATTTTTTTCCTTCATGTCTTTGATTATATAGATTTAACTATGTTATATAGAATATATATATCTTACTCTGATACTAGGACACATAATGTCTCAAATTTGTATATCAAATTTGCATCCAAAATTAACAAAGATGATTGGATCAATAGGTCTAGTAACTTTTTTTTGGCGGGATTCATCGATTCACCCATCCTGTTAAAGCAAACTGCATTTTCTTGCATGGACTTTGGTTCTTATGGGCAGAAATCCTATGACTAGCAATATGAACGCTAATTCTTGTTGCGATCACCAAATAATGTGATACATTTATCCCCATTAATGTTTATGAGACTCACTTATTTAACGCAAATGAATATATCACTACTTTCTATTCAATATCTTTTTTTTTGAGTACCATAAAATTATGCCAAAGCTGAAATTTATAGGTCTAGAACAAGGTTCATTAGACGTGGCCGTAACTTAGTCTCAGAACCCTTGATTCTCTCAAAATTCTCCCAATAGTAATAATTGATTTCTACTGTCCCACTATCTAGGGTTTTATTGATGCCCCCCTTTTAGGTTTATTTTCACCCATCTGTATGATTTTCTCTTCTATTCAAAAATTATAGATGTTGATTGTTTATTATAATAGTGACTACCATTGTATCTCTTTACATATGTAAAGTAATTATTTTTTAGACGAGAAAGCTTAAGAAATCTTCGCTCTCTAATTATTTAATTTTTTAATTTATATATAGGTCTATACATAAATTGGGTAACTACTTCATCTTTAAATTTTTCACTAGATATATTTAACTATTTCAAAAAAAAAATTAATACATTAATGACTAATTTTTAATGATAGATAAGGGGTGGCGGTAAGAATGACAATGGTAAGAAATTTTAAATTCATGCATTGCATGGGATATGTGACCATGAAAAAATGTATATAGTACCAACCAATGTTTAATATTGGCATTTTTTTGATGCACCCTAACTCTTGTAAACTCGGATTTTCCCTTCCGATTAGCTAGATTTACATTCCAAATTCCTATAGTCCAAGTACAAGATGAGGTGTGCCCTAAATGTGATGGCACTACCTGTTTTCCACCTTTTAAAATCCAATTTTGCTTTTGGGCTCATCCCTCCATGCGCACAGTGTCCAATACACTATAATATATATATATATAGTGTATTGTGAAATAATTAATTAATAAACATTGTGGGCGATTGTGAAATATTTGAATAAATTATAATTTTTTTATGAGTTATAACTTAATTTTTGAAAGTTATAACTTGATCATAATATTTTAGAATTAATCATGTTTTTTGAAGTTGCAAGTTACACCTTAAAAAGTTTTAACTTCAAATTACGATGGTCAGCTATTGAGTTTGAAATAATTGATACAAGTCTGAACACCTTGTGGTAAACAAAAAAAAAAAAAAAAAGTTTTATAACTTTACCTAAAAAAAATTATTAACTTTAATGTAATATCTCTTTCGGTGTCATAATCATCCAATATATATAACGAATATATCCCACCAAAATTAGAGTTTCAAAGGCCTACGGCAACCAAAAGAGGCCTCCCCACTAAAGTAGACCTTTTTCTGAGTAGTGCAATAAAAACAGTAATCTATAGATCTGGTGATGTTTAAAGTAAAGACAAAATTGTAGGCGGCCATTCCATCACCTCCATGATCTGGGTTCCAGTATGGTGTCTGCCCAATTGACCATACAGTAAAACGTGTGGGTTTTTGGGAATGTTCTTCAACCATTTTGTTGGCCAACTTTTTAGTGTGGGTTTTTTTTTTTTTTTTGATTGAATTGGGCTGAAACCATCCATTTTACTGACCACCTTTTGAGTAAGTAATTTTATGTTTACAAAATTAATGTAGATAGTTAGACTAATGGGTCCTGTTGATTTTTTGGATTAATAGTATTTTTATTTCTTAAAATGTGTATTTTGTCAGTTTAGTTTTTAAAATATTATTTTTGTCAATTTAATCCTTATAATATTCAATTTTTGTTTAAATGATTTTTACATAAACGGACTGTTAAGTTTTTGACGGAATGATTATATATTAGACATGTGATACAGTTTAAAAAAATAATACGTGGTCACCAAAAGTTGAGTATGTGAACTTTCAACCCCTTAACAGATAATGTCGTCGACCAAAAGCTTGTTGTTTTTGGTACTTTATCCGAAAATGAATCTAATTATTTATTTTTATTGATTATAAAAATAGTAAAATAAGATAAAGTGATAAAATAATTAAATCTTTCCACTTGTCCTATTGTAATTGCTCCAAAAAGATAGATGTTTATTTAGATGGTCTTTAGATGACGGAATAAAGAGGTTAAAAACATCTATATAATAAATCAGCTAAGTTTTTAAAACTTAGGTAATGTTCCTCATAACTAAAATATTATCTTGCACTCACACTCCACAATATAGTTGCACGCATGTACACATACTCCAACACAGGCACACGCATACACATATTTCAGTTGTATACATATTCTAATACATGCACAGTGTCGCAGTTTAATGTACAGAAACTTTAGTCATAGAGTATGACTAGTGGTTGATAAGACCCAATTGAGCTATAGCCCCACTTATTCCATGTTTGGAAAGCAAAAAATGGTATTGGTAGCCTATCCAAGACCCAATTTGAATAGTAACATTTATCCATTGGTGGGGGTTTCCCTTACCCATCTAGGAGGTGACTTAAATTTAGCACCAATGAGATTTCTTGTGAAAAAAATTAGTGTATTTATTGCTTTTCAAACAGTTGGATTACCGAAGGGAAATGATGGTAAAATTCAATTAAAAAACTTTCAAATTATGAGATAATCCGTGTGACCCACATAAATACAAATGAATTTGCCAAACAAGCGTTTTCAAGCCAATATGCAGTTTTATCATAACAATTCAATATGCAGTTTTTAAACCAGACCAGAACAATCCAACGCAATTCAATACAACTAGTCCAATACGCAATGTTACCAAAACCCGGTCTCTGTGTTTGTTTGAAGGTTAGAGTTTAAAGGAAAGTTTTAGTCATCTCAGTGTGTGAAAATAATATTTTAGTTAACTAAGTCGTCCACGCAAGTTCTTTTTTGGTTTTTCTTTTGACATAAATTTCAAAATAACTTCCAGA